ACAGTGATGCCACTCCTCCACGATAATACTGTCCCATCATCACACCATCATAACAATAATAATAAAAAAACACAATAACATGTAATGAGAATGGACTTCTGAATTTCCTGTCATACCAGCTTGTGGGATTCAAGTATTATACATGACTGGTGCACATTATTTCTACTCCCAAACTGTGTAGAACTCTGGTTTTACCTACAAATTAACTAGACTCTTCTTTGTGAAATAGTGTTTTAAAAACATGTTAACATAATTTTCAAAACAGTCCTTTAAAATCAGCAGTCATGGCAAAGACTACTATTACTTGTCCTTTGACATGGATTACTCTCTCTTCCTCAATCACATAACCCCCAAAATGTCAGGCTGCTCAAAATGAAGACTACAGCACAATAATGTTTCACTGACTTCTGTTATCCAAAGTTTATTACAAAATGCATGTATATGTCCTTAGGCTTGAGCCTTATAATTTTTCCCAGATGTACACTTACATTTTTTAAGCTGAATAATTTTCCCAAGCATATCATTAATCCTTTAAGTTTTTCCTGTCATCACAAGCTTTCATAACACCTAACGTCTTTGAAAATTTCATCAAGATGCTATGTACTTCCTCTCCCAGCTCATTAAGATGTCAACGTAACAATTCTGCTTATCAGCCACTGTAGCAGATCCTTTTATTTCATTATTCTCAAGAAAGATTTCAGTCTACAGTTTAACTGAGATTGGGCTGAATTTTTAATTCAAACTGCACTATTATACAAACACTTATAAAAATACAAATATATATTTATTATCAACCTTATTCTCTTTAAAAACACTGCAACTTTGTATCAGTAAAAATAAATTTGTCTAAGTCCCTTCCTTCCTCTCCCCTCCACTAAGCCATTGTTTGCTGAGGATAACCCTAACATAAATTGCTTAATTTTTTTTTTAAGATTTTATTTATTCCTTTTAGAGAGATAGGAGGAAAGGGAGGGAGGGAGAGAAACATCAATGCATGGCCGCCTCTCGTGCGCCCCCTACTGGAGACCTGGCCTGCAATCCAGGCCTGAGCCCCTGACTGGGAATCGAACCAGTGACCCTTTGGTTCGCAGGCCGGCACTCAATCCACTGGGCCACACCAGCCAGGGCTGATTAATTTTTCTCAATCCCAATTAAATCTTAATTCTCTTTTAAAAAGTGTAGAAGAAAGGAATAGTTTTCATCTTCCATTTTGTGTGCCACATAACTCTGTATTGTCATGGATCATCAGACAGTCTGCCACATACACTAGTCCAAGTTCTGCTGATTTTCCTATCAGGTCATTGGTCCGCTGTCACCACAAATATGCACTAATGGATTATGTATTTCAATATGGACCACCGCTTTCCCAACCAGTCCCATACCTACATTGAGCTTAGAGAATTTTTCTATTACCACATTCTTAGTCACCACCTCTTCTAAATATCACAGTTGTGATAAACCAAGGTCAAGCCTGACTACAAAAAGTCCTGAAATAGACACATACAGAAAAGTCCTAAATTCCTTTAACTGATAACATGTAGCACAAGCTCTGAAAAAGTTATCAATATAAAAGTGGAATCTTTAGAAAAAGTGAAAGCAATGATTTTCAAAAAGTGGAATCTAAAATTAGATCTAAGTGACTGGCTGAGAAACAGAATTATTAATTTACGTAACAGCATAGTGTTTCTCAGAAGAAAAGCTAAAAGCTAGGTGCTCCTTTACTTCAGATTCCTCAAATGGGCAAATATCATCATGACTTGGAGGTAGGCAAAAGTTCCTTAAGACAGAGAAAACAATAATTATAAATAAAATACTGGGGAATTCGAATTCTTCAAAATTAAAAACTTAAGCTCATTGAAAGACCTCATTGTGAAAATGAAGAGGTAAGCCACAGACCAGAAAGAAAATAAATGCAGAATGCCTATTTGACACAAGCAAAAGAGAGACAGACTCATAGAGAGCAGGCTGACAGCTCTGAGGGTAGGCACGGAGGGGCGCTGGGGGTGAGGGGATCGAGCAAAAAAGGAGAAGCACTCATGGCCACGGACGGTAGTGCGGAGACTGCTGCGGGGAGAGGGTTAGGTTGAGGCGGGAAAGGGTATAAGGGGGATAAATGATAATGAAAAAAATACAATAAAAAAAACTATAAATAAAAAAATAAAAATAATCATTTAAAAAAACCTGTTTGACAAAGGATCGATATTCAAAATATATAAATTCCTACAATTTAATTATAAAAAAACAATTCCCATAAAATATGAGCAAAAGATATGAAGAGACACTTTAGAGGGAGATAAACAAATGGCCAATAAGCACATACAAAATAGTGCTCTACATCATTATTCATCAAGAAAATGCAAATTAAAACCATAAAATTCACAACCACCCATTGGAAAAGGACAAAATTAAAATGTTTGACAACACTAGCCCTTTGTTAGGATGTAGAGCAACTAGAACAGGGGTATAAAATGGCACAACCACGTGAGGGGAAAAAGCCTAGTAGGTTTTTTTTTTTTTTTATAAAACTCAACATAATTCTATATCTAGGTATTTGTCCAAAAGAAATAAAAACGTATCTTCACCTGAAGATTTGTACAAAAGTGTTCGTAGTAGCTTATTCAGAACATCCCAAACTAGACAGAGCCCTGATGTGCATCAACAGGAAAAACTAACTGGCATATTCACATAGTAGAACGCTACCAAGCAGTTAAAAAGGAACAAACTACTGATAAATGAAACAAACATTTTTTTCAAAAACATTATGCTGAGTTTGAAAAAAGTCACGCAAAAGAGAATATATTACATGATTCGATTCATTTTTACTTGGGGGGAGGGGTTAACTGGAAAGGAAGTTCCTGAGGTCTAGTAATGCTCTGTATCTTGATAGGAGTTTAGGGTGTGAAGTTGTATGCATGTGTCAAAACTCTTTCAATGTACACTTACAATTTATGGATTGCACTGTATACAAATTTTACCTGAAGAGAAAAAACTGTAAAACCAAAGAAAAATTGTATTAAAGAAATGTCTGTTAAACAAGAGTGGCCTAAAAAAAGAAAATAAAAACTACAAGAGTGAAATTGTACTTAACAGGAAAAATAAATTCAGTAATTTTTGAAAAAAAAATTTATAATCTAACTCAAGTTGATGAAGAAATAGAATGACCCTTGCATTTACCCACAGGTCTGTCTGGCTTGCTCCCTTTAAATCTCATTAAGTGCATTTTAAACAAAACAATCTTCTCTGGCAAGCCTATTTTAATACCCCTTCTCCCTTACTTTCTGTCCTTGTATCCTGCTTAATATTTATTTATGACCTTTAGTATCACCATAAGAACATACTGGTTTGCTATATGTCTCTCCACCAGTGGAATACAAACTCCAAGACAGCAGTCGGGGAAGAGGGCATTCTTGAACACATCATTGCATTTCCAATACTTTGTCGCAGAACAGCACTTGACTGCTGGCAGCCAGCCTCTAGGCAAAAATTCCAGAGGCAAAGGTTTGGTGATAAAGGAAGGAGTCTTTATTCAAAAGCAGTTACTCAAGCCTATCAGTTAAGGCTAAACTCTAACAACTGAGTTCTCCTAGCTTTTTCCCTGTTGGTTTTTAGTTACCTTGTGTCTATAGGGTTAGTTTATAAGCTAAAAACAACATAATATATAAAAACTACACAATTTTGGAAGAATGGCAGGCTTCTGACTCAGAGCCTATTCCTCCTAGAACACCCAAAGGATAACCCTGCTACCCTCTGCCAGACCAGCCTGTCCCTAGGCTGCGCCCGGAGTTCCTTCCCATACCAAACACCATCCATCGGGAAATGCAGGCAGCTACAGCAGGGTCATCCAGGGATCCGTGAGGAAGAAGAGTCTGACAGCGAGTGTGAGAGCCCAAGCCTGAGCCCGAGCCCGACAGAGAGCTTGGCTCAGAAGCCAGAGAGCCAGCCCTCTTTTTTATTTCCATTGGCTCCAGAGGCATTCAGCTTCTCAGCCAATCCCGTCCTAGACTGCCCACCGTTGCCTCAGCAAACGCCTCCTCCAGCCCCTCCCTACTTCTCCCCAGTCATCTGAGTTATCTTAGTCAGATCTCTCTTTATCAAAGTCACTCCATTGTGATCAATTTGTGATGTGAAGGAGACTTTAATGAAATGGCATTAGGCCTTGAAGAAATTAACAAAAAATACAATAAAGAGAAAATGTCTCCCTTCTCTCATTCTTCACTTTTTGGTCTCTGCTTAGCGGGAAGCTAGAATTTCCACTGAAACACACCCATTCCACATATCTGGCTCCTCTCCAGCCTTCACCCTCAGCAAAAAAGAGTGACAAACCTAGTAAGTCAAAATTTGATAATGATGTGGCCACATTTTACTAGAGTGTGAGATCACTGACTTCAGCCAGCCCATGTTCTTGTCAGCTACTTGTCTTTTTTTTCTATGGAAGACCTACCAGGTCTTGACTTTCTCAGGACTACCGATAATCGGCTGTTAAGCTAGTCAATAGGCCTCATTTGAGCTCCTTGTTGGATAAGAAGTGTAACAATGCGCTTTGTAAATCTAGTCAAGTCTCTAGGTAGCACTGACAGATTCAGGGTGCGAGGTTTCAAGCCTAAGCCATGTTCTCCAGCACAACTTTCCCCTAAAAACCTTGAATTAATGGTTTTAGGAAACTTGCATTGATTTTAAAAGTTTGTACCAATGTCCCATTTGGGTGTCCAACCCATGGCCCCAGGATGTCTATGAATGCAGCCCAACACAAAATGGTACATTTACTTAAAACCTTTTTTATACTCATCAGTTTTCATTAGTATTTGTGAATTTAATATGTGGCCCAAGACAACTCTTCTTCCAGTGAGGCCCAGAGACACCAAAAGGTTGGATATCCCTGACTCTACCAATCAGAACACCAGCTGAGTTCTGAATGCCTAACTCAAGCAGAATTTTTTTTTAATCACAAAAATAATGTAATACTCCATTGGTGTTAAACAACGTATTTTAATAAATGTGTCCTTAATACAAGATTCTTGCCATTTCAACTATAGTCAAACCCAAACTTCAAAATTAAGTCAACAATTAATAACATGTCAATTTTGAAAAGTTCTTAACTACAAGAGTATCAAATATAATAACTTTTAAATACTTAATGTCTTTTGTCACAATATTAAAAATAAACTTCTTAGCATCCAAAAGCTATCAAAGGTCCTACCCACCAGAAAAAAAATTTTTTAGCAAGTAAAAGTATAGTCCCTGCTGCTATTTGTATCTGTTAAAAATGTTAAACAATTTTTTAAAACAACCTCCTAATTTGAATGTGATTTTGAGTACTTCTTAGCTATCCAAAAATGGCAGATACATACTAATTCTTTGCAGGTAGGCAGGTTCATAGTCTGGATGGAAGAAATGTGTGTCACAGAGTTTTAAAGTTATCACTGAACTTTTAAACTACAAAATAAAGCAAGAAATCTAAAAGGAACCAGATTTAATGTTACCATTCTTCACTCACATGGACCACCATATGAGATTTTAGCGGGTTACTGCCAAGGCCCAAGGACAGCTCTCATTAGAGCTAAGCATTTTCACGTAAGGGTATAATTTTTAATTTAAAATAAAATGAATAATATATGCATGTACATATAGATTAAAATAGGACATAAACATATGCAAACTAGTCGGAGACATTTCAACTAGAAAACTGAAAAGTTCCACTAGAAAAGAGATATAAAGGGACAATTTTTATATTGAAATAATGCTTTTTGTTGAATCATTAAGATGATACTGCCATCAATGTATTCAAACCAACAAAGATCAGAAAGAGAATGTAAATTGCTGAGAATAATTTCTCCTACAGTTAAAAATACATATGTTTTAAGGAGAGAGAAAAGAACATAAACTCCTCAAATAAAACTTACAAAGCAAAACATAGGATTAGTAATTTATTAAAAATTACAGTCCTGATTTGAGAAAAAGAAACAGTATGAACAAGGGCATGAAATAGACAGGCTAATATTCTGTCCTCACTGAAAAAAACTACTAGAAAAAAATTAGTAAGGTTTCAGATATTTCCATTTAATGTGGACAAAATATACAATTTTTTATATCTAAAATACAAACCAGTAGTTTATTTTCATTTGTAATTTAAAGTGACTTAGGTAAAGTTTATTCTTCCCAGTGTTCGAAATTAAAGAGGAATTGTTTTCCATATCTAGAAATTATATGGTAATGTAAAATAAAAGTTTAATGCTGCTGAACAAAAGCTCAAATAGATTAAAAAAGCCAAATAAAACAAAAGGGCTTTAATTTTTATAATTTTGCAATGATAGTAGGTTTACTTTCTTCAACATTAAAAAAATCTAGCCTGCTTTTTATCAGTATAAAACTACAAAATAACCACAATAAAATATTTTTATATAACTTAGAAAAACAATTTCACATGATACACTCATTAACACTCAAGAATTATAATCCCGAAAGGGAGAGTCTCCCTGAAATAGAAAGAAGTTCTTTCTTTTTGTCACCTCCATTCCTTATATGTAATCTTTATTTCACATCATTTACAATAGAAATATTTATCACAATCTGACAGGTAGATAAGAAATTTTTTGCCTTCTAAAAAGTAAATTTACTCAGTCTTCTTAGTATGCTTCTTTTTAACTTTATCTGAAGTACCAGCTATAGATTTTGAGGTCGATGAACCACTACCTCTGAAAGATGATTTTATTTCACTTTTCTTTTCATATGGTGAGAATTGCTGCTGCCAGCCAAATAATATCCATCTCAATGTGTCCTCAAAAGGAGCAAATGGCACAGTAGCAGTCTCTGTAATCATCATGATCATCTGTAAAAAGCAGAAAGTTCAATTTTGAATTTAAATACAAATGTTTGCTTTACCAAACCTGAGAGGGAAAAGTAATAAAAAATGGAGAAAAATTCAAAATGTGAGTTTTCTTATTGAGGTATAATTGACATATAACATGTTTTTTTCAGGTGAACAACACATGATTCTATATATGCATATAGAATCACAATTAGTCCAGTTAATATCCATTATCACACATAGTTACAAAAATATTTTTTCTTATGATGAGAATTTTTAAGATCTACTCTCTTAGCAACTTTCAAATATGCAATATAATATTATTAACTACAGTCACCATGCTATACATTATAGCCCAATGACTTAATTTATAACTGGAAGTTTGTACCTTTTGACCCCCTTCCCTTCACCCATTGGCCCCACCACCACACTCTGCCTCTGGCAACCACAAATCCCTCTTTTCTGTATCTATGAACTTAGTTTCTTATTTTTCAATTTTATCTAATATTTATTATGTTTTTTCCAATTATCCTCTAGTCCCCATATAGCCCCCTCCCCCCTGGCAGTCATCACACTGTTGTTCATCTCCATGAGTCCTTCTTCCTTTTTGCTCAGTCCCTCCACCTACCACCCTCCTGCCACCAGCTGTCATCCTGCTCTCCGTCTGTTAGTCTGTCCCCATTTTTCTTGTTAGATCAGTTTGTTCATTAGATTCCACATATGAACTAAAACCATATATTTGTCTTTCTTTGACTGGTTTATTTCACTTAGCATTATGTTGTCCAGGTCCATCCATACTGCAACATAGGGTAACATTTTCTTCCTTTTTATGGCCAAGTAGTATTCCACTGTACAAATGTACCATTGCTGTTTTACACACTCATCTATTGATGGACCCTTAGGCTGTTTCCACATCTTGGCGTGTAATGCTGCAGTGAACATAAGGGTGCTTATGTTCTTTCAAATTGGTGTTTTGGGTTCCTTCGGATATATTCCCAGAAGTGGGATCACTGGGTCAAAAGGCAGATCCATTTTTAAATTTTTGAGTTATCTCCACACTGCTTTCCACAGTGGCTGCGCCAATGAGTATTCCCATCAACAGTGCAGAAGAGTTCTCCTTTCTCCACATCGTGCCAGCACTTGTTGTTTATTGATTTATTGATGATAGTCATTTTGACAGGTGTGAGATGGTAACTCATTGTGGTTTTAATTTGCATTTCTCTGATGATTAGTGATGTTGTGCATCTTTTCATATGTTATTGGCCATCTGTATGTCCACCTTAAACAGGTGTCTACTGAGGTCCTTTGCCCATATTTTAATTGGGTCATTCGTGTTTTTGGTGTTGAGTTTTGTAAGTACTTTATGCATTTTGGATATTCACCCCTGATCAGATGTATCGGCAAATACGTTCTCCCATTCTATGTGTTGTCTTTTTATTTTGTTGATGATTTCCTTTGCTGTGCAAAAACTTTATAGTTTGATGTAGTCCCATTTGTTTATTTTTCCTTTTGCTTCCCTTGCCTGGGGAGATATAGCTGATAAAATATTGCTATGAGCAATGTCTAAGATTTTGCTACCTACATATTCTTCTAGGATTTTTATGGTTTGGGGTTTAACATTTAAGTCTTTGATCCATTTTTAATTTATTCTTGTGTGTGGTATAAGAAGATGGTCTAGTTTCATTTTTCTGCGCATATTTGTCCAATGTTCCCAACACCATTTTTTAAATAAACTGTCTTTAGCCCATTGTCTGTGTTTGCTTCCTCTGTTGAATATTAATTGACTATAAAGGTATGGGTTTATTTCTAGGCCTCTATTCTGTTCCATTGATCTATGTGTCTGTTTTTATGCCAGTATCTCTGGGACCCTGGGAAAACAATCCTAAGAGGGGAATTCATAGCATTACAGGCCTATCTCAAAGGACAAGAAAAAACTCAAACAGTCTAACTTCACACTTAAAGAAACTTGGAAAAGAAAACAAACAAAGCCCAAAGTGAGTGGAAGGAAGGAAACAATAAAGATCAGAGCAGAAAGAAGTGAAATAGAGTCTAAAAAAATGATACAAAAGATCAATGAATCCAAGAGCTGGTTCTCTGAAGAGATAAGCGAGACTGCAAACCTTTAACCCAACTTATCAAGAAAAAAAGAGAAAGGACCCAAATAAATAAAATCAGAAATGAAAGGGGAAAAGTAACAATGGACACCAAAGAAACACAAATGATTTTAAGAAAATCGTATGAACAACTACATGCCAACATGCTGGGCAACCTGGATGAAATGCATAAATTCCTAGAAACATACAACCTTCCAAACTAAATCGGAAGAATCAGAGAATCTGAATAGACAGAAGACACATAGTGAAAATGAAGCAATAAAGACTCCCAAAAAACAAAAGCCCTGGAGAAGATGACTTCACACAGGAATCATACCAAACATTCCAAGAAACCTAAGACCTCTCCTGCTCAAACTATTTCATAAAATTCAAAAGGAGGGAAGACTCTCAAAACTTTACAAGGCCAGCATTATCCTAATTCCAAAACCAGATAAAGACACTACAAAGAAGGAAAATTATAGGCCAACATCCCTGATGGACATAGACGGTAAAATCCTCAACAAAATATTAGCAAACCGATAATAGCAATACATTAAAAAGATCATACACCATGATCAAGTGGGATTTACCAGTATTCTGGAAATGCAAGGTTGCTACAACATTCGCAAATCAATAAATGTGATTCATTCCGTAAACAAAATGAAGGATAAAATCTACATGATCATACCATAGATGCAGAAAAAGCATTTGATAAAATCCAGCACCCATGTATGATCAAAACTCTCAGCAAAGTGGGAATAGAGGGAACATACCTCAGCATAATAAAGGCCATATATGACAAACCCACTGCCAGCATCATACTCAACGGGCAAAAACTACAAACACTCCCCTTAAGATTGAGAACAAGGCAGGAAGGTGTCTGCTTTCACCTCTCTTATTCACACAGTACTGGAAGTCTTGGCCACAACAATCAGACCGGAAGAAATGAAAGGCTTCCAAATTAGAAAGGAAGAAGTAGAACTGTCTTTATCTGCAGATGACATGATACTGTACACAGAGAACCCCAAAGGTTCCACCAAGAAATTACTAGAACTGATAAATGATTTCAGCAAAGTAGCAGGATACAAAATTAATATCCAGAAATCAGTTGCATTTTTATATACTAATAATGAACTAACAGAAAGGGAAATTAAGAAAACAATTCCATTCACAATTGCTTCAAAAGGAATAAAATACCTAGGAATAAACCTAACCAAAGATGTGAAAGACCTGTTCATGGAAAATTATAAGACACTGAAGAAAGAAACTGAAGGAGATATAAATAAGTGGAAACATATACCATGTTCATGGATAGGAAGAATTAATATCATTAAAATATCCATACTACCCAAAGCAATCTAAGGACAGATTCAGTGCAAGTCCTGTCAAGATTCCAATCATGTATTTTACAGCTCTAGAACAACTATTACAAAAATGTATATGTAATCACAATAGGCCCCACATAGCATCAGTGATCCTGAGAAAGAAGAACAAAGTTGGAAGAATCACACTACCTAATATCAAATTATACTATAAGGCCATAGTAATCCGCATGTTTTTTAATTTCAGATTCTATATATAAATCAAGTCATACTGTATTTGACTTTTTCTGTCTGACTTATTTCACTTACCATTAATTCCCTCAAAGTCCAATGAATGTTTCACAAGTGGCAGGATTTCATTCCTTTTTATGGTGAATAATATTTCACTGCATGCATATACTCCCCTTATTCTTTACTCATTTATCCACTGATGGACACTTAGGTTGTTTCCATATTTTGTCTATGGTAAATAATGCTGCAATGAACATAGGGGTATCATATATCTTTTTAACTTAGCAGTTTCATTTTCAAATACCCAGAAATACGATGTTAAATCATATGGTAGCTGTATTCACATAGTACATTTCTAAAGAACTTCCACACTGTTTTCCATAGTAGCTGTATTGATTTACATTGCCACCAACAGTGAGGGGTTCCCTTTTCTCCATATCCTCACCAAGACTTGTTACTTTTTGTCTTTTTGATAATAGCCATTCTAACAGGTGTGAAGAGATGTCTCGTTGTGGTCTTTATTTGCATTTTCCTGCTAACTAGTGATGTTGAGCATCTTTTCATGTACCTGTTGGCTATGTGCATGTATACTCAGGTCTTTCTCCCATTTTTAATTGGGTTATTTAGTTTTCTTGCTGAGTTGTATGAATTGTTTATATAGGTACCTTGGTACTCTTCATTAATTCATTCTGAACTCATGACAAATGCTGAAGCCAACAAGTTTCAAGCAAGTGATGAGTGATGAAGCATTTCCTCTTGCAGGACAGCATCGTGACTCATACAAGTTCAAGCAAGTGTGACAAGTCCTGAGCAAGTGCTGAGTACTGAAACGTTTTTTTCAAGTCAAAATGCGATGAGTACAAGGTTTGATGAGTTCTGAAGCCAATGAGTACCAAAGTACAACTATATTTTTTTAGATACTAGCCCCTTATCAAATATATGGCATGCAGATATTTTCTCCCATTTAGTAGACTGTCTGTTCATTGTGTTGATGGCTTCCTTTTCTGTGCAGAAGCTTTTCAGTTTGATGTAGTCCCACTTGTTTAATTTTGCTTTTTCTGCCTTTGCTTTTGGTGTCAGATTCAAAAGATCATTGTCAAGATGAATGTCAAAAAGCTTACTGCCTGTTTTCTTCTAGAAGTTTTATGGTTTCTGGTCTTCTGTTCAAGTTTTAAAAATCCATTTTGAGTTGACTTTTGTGTATGGTGTGACACAGGGATCCAGTTTCATTTTTTTAGTACGTGACTACCCAGTTTTCCTAACACCATTTATTAGACTGTCCTTTTTTTGGTTCCTTGGCATAAATTAATTGACCACATATGTGCAAGTTTATTTCTGGGCTCTCAATTCTGTCTCATTGTTCTATATATCTGTT